TGCACCAGGCGAACAGGGTATAAGGCTCTAGTTTAGTAGTGTTACAGAGTATAATACGTATATTTTAATATATTTTTTAAAAGAAACAAAATCACTGAGAAATGTTACGTGTGTTTAACAACGGGTTCGGAAAACTTTGAAAATGTTAACAACGAACCCGCGCGAACCCGCTGAATATCACCACTGCCTGTACTAGAGTTAAGGTAAAAAAATATAGCCCTATTAGGTTTGTGTCAGTGATTCTCAATCTTTTTTTCGTCACGGTACACTTTTAATAATTTAAAAATTTGGCGGAACACGCGATTACTTCGGTAAGTACCGCAGGACAACTGGTGACGTCATAACAGTGATTTTTAAACGCAGTTGGTTATTTACGTCACATTTTCTAAACGTCTTAGTAACTACCGGCAGTTACCGGTAACACCAGTTACAATTTCTAAACGCGCCCTAGGAAGGTAAAACCGATTAAACTACTTGTCTGACGTCGCTTATGTATGGATATTCGGCACATTTCAAAAATCTCGCGCCACATTAAAATGCCGCGGCACAGTGGTTGAGAATCACTGGTTTACATTCATTCATTTTTTTAACGATAGGACGAAGGAAGTTTCCAAAAAAATAAATATGTAGTGTATGCTAAGTAAGCGTCCTTAAAGAATTCATTATGTTGAGTGGAGACTGTGACTCATCGCGAGCGGCGGAGGGGAGAGCGCCGCCATTTCGAGGTCGTTTCGCCGCGTCACATACTTTCCGTTTCGTATACATTTTGACTCTGAGAAGCTACGACGCTCGTTTCAGTTTCAATTTACAGCTCTCGTCAATATTTATTGATTGCGTACACAAAACATATGTGGAATATTTATGGTGAATACTGTATATATGGTGTTAAAGTTAAAAATTAAGAAAACGGCCTATACTGTATAATGTCGGCCTATACTCGTTGAAAAGCCAAATCAAAATATTGAAATCGTATACGGTCAGAAAGGGCTTCTCAACAGCAAACCAGTGATACCCTAAAACACTACATGATAGAGTGAAGCGGTGCCGGGAACGTAAAAAAACATGGAGATCCGAAGGGCTTCTTACTGTTTTAAGGAATGATTATGACATACATATAATACGCTCAATGAAAATATTACCCGTTAATTCTGGGCTGTTTTTTAAACATTTCCGCCCTGGGTATCCCGAGGGCCTCTTTTAGCAAACTTATTGCAGGGGCGGCCGGATGGTGAGGGATGGAACCAACATATCCGGTCAAATCACCCCACGAAAATTTCCTGGAGTTTTTTCGACCCGTTCGGATTCGATCCCAGATCGGTAGGCTGCTACCTTGACCGCTCCGGCCATCCCGCCATCCTCTAAAATAGGTTAAATCAATTCATAATTCTATATTTTATTTTGGAACCAGCAATCTTTCTATGAAACAGGAACGCGCCAGGATATGTTTTAGTATTCCGTAGGCTTTTAAAGCCTGCATTCCCATAAGAAAGAATATATGAGGCCTGCTGGAAGCCTACGAAGTTTTTTTTTAGGCCCGCATTTAGAAAAGATTGCTGGTTACTCGCNCGCGGGCCGCAGGTTGTGCACCCCTGCTTTATGACTTTTGAGAAGTATATAACACCTTACAAATAGTAAAAAAAATTGTACCATAATATGTATGGAAAAGATGCTCATAAATGTTTAACATGTCAAACTTGATTTAAAAAGTTCTGTTTAAATTTTGAACTTTAGGATATAAAATGTAGGGATGCCCAAAAACTGTCAACCAAGAAAAACTGCAAGAAGAAATTGTTAAAAATCAACAAACATCACACAATACAGTATAAATACACAAACCCGCCAAAAATAAAGCAAAAAACGCACATACAATAATAATGTAAAAGTAAGAGCAAGAAATAACTTGGACATACAACATTGAATTTATGCTTTAAGCACATTTTTTCATTGCATGTGCAGTTCGAGGCAAATTTTTGTCAAATTTTGCATTTAAACTCTGAAATGTTTGAAGTTAGAACTGTTCAAAATATGAGATCCTCCTACTGTATATTGGAAAAACAAATTTCTTTCTTCCTGACTCTTCATTTGAAGATGAACTTATGCAAATGAAAATTTATTTATTTATAAATAAACTTGTTATATAAATCTTAACTATATAAAGTAATTTTGCATATACCTCTTTTTGCTTTTGTCTTTCATCTTCTGCTGCTTCTGCTTCCTCATTATCTTGCGACATAATATTTTCAATATTAAAATTAATAGCAGACTCCGGATTATATATAGTCAGTCCAGAATCCATTCCAATTGCTTATTGTTATCTAAATATAAAATAAAAATAAAATTTTAATACATTTAGTAGTTACACTTTTTAAGTATTAATAAAAATGTTATTTTACATTTTAAAGTAATTATTAATGTATATACATACAAAGTGGTCCACATAAAAGTTATATAGATCAGAATCAATCAATTTTTTATTAAACCATATAGAGCTAACCTTATCATCAGGGTTATAGAAAACGAAAATAATAATTCAAAATTACATTTTAAATCTTCCTTTAAA